TGAGCCACCAGCGCCCAGCTTGCCCTTTTTCTTTCTTCCTTTCTATCCTTGAACTAAGCCATGGGAACATCCAGAGGTTCTTTCTCTAGCTTTTTCTCTGACCCTATCAATCAACCAACCAATCAATCAGTCATGTGAATAATACAATTGTACACACGTGTGCACCTGTGATTTTATAAGTGATTTTATGATATGAGCATGCACATATTTGTATAACAATTTAAACCCATAATTATACTACCAAATCCTCACCATAACCCTACTGTATACAGAATTGCTCCTGTTTTAGAGTTGAAGGGTTCAAAGTTGTGATTTCAAGTCTCTATTTATTGGCTTCCATGCCAATTTTATCAACATGCCGTTTTATCAACAGTATTTTCAGTAAACAGATTAGAGAGCTAAGGGAAATATGTCAACAAGAAGTAAAGCAGCAGGCTGAGGTTCCAAGGCTCAAAGCTGTCAAGTCACCTGTCTCTCCTGGGAAATGCCCTGGAGATGGGAAGGACAGCAGAGCAGTGAGAATTGTTATGTAAATGTGGTGGATGGAAGGATAAGTACATTATTACAAGCTTCCTGTTATGCTGCTGAAGTTGTTTTAATGATTGTATTCTGCTTTCTCATGGGTAAAACAGCAATAAAAATATCTGCTTTGTAGCAGTTAGGCTTAGTAGGATTAAATGAGACCCTGTTATATTCTTCTACAAAGCAGAATACAAATGTGAGATCAATTAAGGTATTCTAAATGATGTTTATTGGTTTTCTTATTTCTTAGTTTATTAATTTAGTATCGGGCTGTGATTGTAACCCAGTGAATGCTTAGTATACATGTGGCCCTGGAGTTAATCTCCAGCATCAATCTGTCTGTCTGTCTGTCTAGCTAGATATATGCATGTATATATGTGTATATGTACATATATATATATATTTATGTATCACAGAAGTATAGTAAATCATCAGAAAAGAGTCTGATAACATGGACATGGAGATGCACATCAAATTGAATCTCTTTCCATCATCTTTCAACATCCCCAAGGCAATAAGTACTAATATATATATATATATATATATATACGTATATATACACATATATATGTATATATACATAGATAGGTAGATAGATAGATAGATAGATAGATAGATAGATAGATAGATAGATAGATAGTGTGTGTGTGTGTGTGTGTGTACCAGTCCTGGGTGTGATGATCCCCACCAAAAGTTCAAGGTATCCAAGTTACTATTCACTGGCAGAAACTTCCTTCTATTGTATCCTTGGGAACAAAAATGTGAAATCAGAAAACAGAACAAAATTATTGATAGAGGGAAAAACCTCTTGGTAAAGGGGTCAATCTTAGCTCCTTTATATCCTTACTAAAAAGCAAAAGTCCATCTCTCCCTCACTCAAGTGTGCCAAGCTGTCAGCTTTGCAGTTTACCACAAACTTTGCTGAAGTTACTCACAACCTGGAGGCTTATCACCAGCTACACTGAGTTGCTGTATTAGTCAGGAGCTTATAATAAAAACGTTTCTGTAAAATAGACTACCCCCACCCAAGGTTGAATTTTGACTTCTGTAATCCAAGGATATGTTTTGATGTTTTGTAATCAAGTATCAATAGTGTCAATAGAATTGATAGTATCAGTCATGTTGGCCAAGTCTAGAATATGTTTTGCCTATGCTCTTGTGACTCAAGGCTATGTTTTGCTTCTGTAACCTTGCTTTGGCAAACATCACCTACATGTAACCCCTTCCTATAAAAAACCCCCATGAAAAGCAAAGCTCCAGCTCTGCGAGCTGGAGACCAATACCATGTGGCTAATAAAAGGCTTCCAGCCAGTTTGGCTGGATATTGGTAA